CGACAGACCGACAATGGGGAGTGTTTTCGGCACGGGCGCGGGTGGTGGTTGCCGGTAGTTTAGTCGGTGGTGGCTGGCGGCTCAGGGGGTGGAGGTTGAAGATGAACTGCAGGCCCTTGATTTCGTATCAAATGGCTGGAAAATCGACTGACCAGAGATGAAAACATCAGTCGACTGACGTGTAGCCTCACCCTGCACGCACACATGCATGCATGCAACACTCGCACGAACACACGCACGCAGGCGTGCAACACTAACACGTACACATGCACTCAGGAACACACGCACGCTTGCAGGCGTGCAACACTGACACATACAGAGGAACTCACAAACACACGCATGCACACATGCATGCAACACTGAAATGTACACATGCACACATGCAACACTCGCACGCCAGCATGCACACAACACACAATGCAAGACACACACTCAACCTATACGTACGTGCACCCTTTGTTAAGGACACAGATTGTTATGGGTATTAATCAATCTTATCTGTGATAAGCAAAACATTGATGTTTGTAGCGGTCTTTATGAATCACAACGTATCGAATGGGCTATCAATGTATATATGAAAATTTTAAAATTCTCTTACGTTATATAGTACCTTATCTACATGAAATAGATGATGTCACACTCAATGAACAATCATCAGTTTATGAAATGCCCGCTTCTGACTGCCCTGGCCCACCAAAAGCTCCTCTGTCGTGCGCTGCCTGTGTTGGCTCACTGGCATGCAGGCCAGGTACCCAAAGATCCCACACATCAGTGGAAGAATGGCGCGGTGTCGAACATTTGAGTCGAGGGCGCCGCTCGCTGCACGCACAACTAAACATGCCTCCTTGCCGCATTCAAACGCATCCATGAAACCCGTGTGGAAGCTGAGAAACCCACTTTGGACACACGTCCGTTCATGGCCGGGCCGACATTAAATGCAACGCTGGCCGAGCTCCTCCCGTCTGCCATCTATTTAATCTCCTATTTAAACGAGGCCAGTCGCCGACCAAGTATCGCACACCTCTGCTGCTCCCATATCTCCTCATTCACCATTTTGTCCACTCTTACAATGGCTTACGAAGAGTACTTATCCAAAATCCAAGCCGGCTGCATGGCCCGCCGAGCTCGCTGGATACGAGCTATGCAACTCATTGATCCACCTCCCTTCCCTCACCCGACAGAGCCAGTTGCCACCCCAAGCCGACGCGTGGTTTAGCAACTCGCCGCTACAAGCCGGCTTGACGAGGAGCGGCGAGCTGCTCCATGCTGGCACAACGGGGAGCACGGGCATCATCGCTGCCGTCCACGCCACTGCCTTGTACCGCGCCTCCCGTTTCTACGACCGCGTCTCCCGTTTCTGTGGCTGAGAGTCCCATGCCTGCGGCCGTGCCATGCAAGCAGACACAAAAGCTGGGTGCGCGGAGAGCGATGAGTCGGTGGCCAGCGCCTCCGCGTCCGCCGCCATCATCAAGGAGAAGTAGAACATGGGAGGCCACCGCCG